AAAGGATCTTCATACTTTTGAGCATTTCATCCATGAACCGAGCCAGTGCATTTCTTTCCACAAAAATAATCCCAAAATGTCACGAGCAATTTTCTGCAACAGAACCTGAGTGAAAGCAAGAAGTCTCTAAAACTTGCTGAACAATTCATCACTTCTGCCATCTCACATTACACAGGCTGGAATGCCATATACTTTACAGTTTGCAGAATATGGTAGATCAGCAGATGTATAAACCAGATTCAGTCTTTCTTGGGTCAAAATTTGAACAGCATCTACTGCTATTTGGTGCCAAACCCAAGAGGGTTTTTCAAAGTTTACTCAGAGAAAAGGAACTTTTAAAACTTCAACTTGAAATATAAAAGAAGCGCTGTTATTGTAGGAGTGGAATGTGGTATGAGACCTCAAATATACATTTTAAAGTCAAAATGTTCTTATATGTCACTTCCCACATTTCCCTTCTTACTTTCAAAAGAATGGATATAGTTGAATATGCACACAAAATTGAAAAAATGAAGTTTCTCCTATTTCTTCTATCTGTCAGTCTATTTAACACTCATCAGATTTTCTTTATCACTAAGTGAAATTTCATTTGAAAAAGTGGGATTAGAAGAATGGCTAGCAGATGGGAAATAGAGACACCCTTGGGATCATAATGTAATCCATGTCACATTCTCTTATTACATTCTCATCCCACTGAAAAAATAATATCTTACATATTGCATCAAATTATTTAATATAAGAATTTAATGTCACTTTCTTTGGAGCTGTGCCTCTCATTACTGCAGCAAATGGACCTTTTCTTTGGTTAAGCCTAAACTTTTCTTTTTTCTAATTTGTAATGAAATTCAAATGTCTAATGAGTTCAATATGACCTGTCAACTTGAATTATCTGTTTGTCTTTCTGTTTACCATATCTATCTGTCTACAGTTTTTATTTTCCTCTGTGAAGTTTAGTTATTGAATCCCATGTTTCCTTCTGGAAGGAATTTCTAACAGATGATTATTCCTGTTGATATGTTGATGATTTGGTAATTTATGGCTTGTAAATTTAAGAAATCTGTAGAAGTCTCTGGGAAACAGAGCAGACCATGAGAGAAGAGAAACAGGAGGTTCTAATACCTTTTACAGTAAAGGACTGTGATTTCATTAAAATGCATTTTTAATCTTACATATTAACTACAATAATGCCTCTGGATAACTTATTTTTCCATCTTTTAAATCTGTAATGAAGTCTAGCATGAACCTGCACAATGGTGACGAAGCAAGCAGTTGATACAAGCACTGAATGGGTCAGGTTGGAAGGGAGCACAGCGGCTCCCTGGCCCAGCCGGGTCAGCGCTCGCTCTGCCGCACCCGCCCACGCAAAGCTGCGCTCTGCCTTCTGCCCTCACAGAGACTTGGCATCGGATTTGATAGCAGCATTGCATAAAAAAGACAAAATAATTTAGTCCATGGAATTAGAAGTCATTAATTCAATGTAAAGACTGAAAAAATCAGTAAGCTATCCAGGCTGAGTTCATCAGTTTACAAATGTTCTTTCCATATGCTTTCTAAAGCTTTGTGCATGCTGATTTATAATAAATTAATATCTTCAACTGGAAAATATTTCACAGAGTTAAAATCCAGTCTGATTGTATGCACACACAAATACAGAAATAGAACAAGAACAATCTTGAATGAAAAGTAAATTGGTAAATACAGAATAAATTTTGTATAGATATATTGGTATAGGTATTTTGGTATAAATGCAACAGTGAGTACTGCTTTTCATTTAACAGCTGAAAGTGAAACTTCAATGAAAGACTATGAAGACATTCCTGTTTCTTAGAAGTCGCTTTACAATAATATTATAAAGCAGAAATTATAACTCAATTTAAAATCTAAAAAATTCCCTGTGGACTTCCACAACTAAATGAACCTATTAAGTTTAACCAGTGATAAGTCTACAAACTACTTTTATTTTTAAAGTTTCTATGTATGGGTCTCATCTAAAACAAAAATAAGGTTCTTTATTATGCAAAATGAATCCTGTATAGTTTATGATCCTCTGGGGACTTCATTGGCTGAAAAGCAAAATGAAATGTAAGCTCAAATTTGATGTTTGTCATTTCTCTTCTTTAGTTAGTGAAGTTTGTATCAATAATTTTTATGCCTACGTTCTAGCTCCTTTATAGTTACAATTCCATGGCAAGGCTCTCCGTAGTATTAAAGTCACTTGGTGTAAAACTCAAAACAACATACATAATCATACACAGGTTTTAATTTCTGACCTAAATGTTTAATAATCATGTTATTACACACTGAGCTTAGGAGGCAACATGTTGTGCTGTTTCCTGGCATGACTGCTAGCTGGGGTTAAACCTCAACAATGTATAAACAAATATATAGTTGTAACAAAGCACGACAATGTATAAACACATATAGAGATGTAACAAAGCAGAGTCTATGTATTGGGATCATAATGTATTTTGTACAGAGTTAAAAAGTACACACATTTTCGGTTTCAAGGGCTGAAACTATATCTTTCACCAAAATTCAGCTGCTTTCATACTGGAAATGTATTTAATCTGGAAACTTTCTGACATTAGAAAAAAAACAACTGTAGTTTCTCATTATTTTTGCTGCCAGAATCTATGCTTGGTTGCTCAACTAAAGACCTTATACTGCTAATTACTACCACATGCCCATATCCCAAGCAAAGGAAAACTTATTGGTTCTGACAATCCATTCTCTCAACACTGAATTCCAAATGAAAACTTCAATTTTGGCCAAACATAACATTTCATCAATCTTGTTCTACTGACTGCAAAAGCAACATCAAACAAGGGGTCCTAATGGCTTTTTACTGTGCAGTTCTCAAGCTTAGATTCTCTGATGAAAGACCCACATGAGCAAAGGACATCTTTAAACTACTTAGTAATTAATAATTGAACCAGAAAACAATGCATAAAGTAAATTGAACAGTTTTTATGCTGATGACAGAGATGAGTTTCAAGCAATAAATTATATGAGCAGTAGAGATCAGCAGAGAAAGCACTGACAGAGTGAGATAAAAACAAACAGACAGTGCATACAAAGAAAGACCAAAAAAAAAAAAAGTGAAAAAATAAAATTAAGCACGCCCCAAAGCTAGCAGAAGCCTGTAATCTGAAGCTGAGCTTTTCAGGATGTGGGGTTCTGACTGAAGATCAGGTCCAAATTTAGAGACATCTGAGCAATGCTGGGTACTAGTGACAATGTAGAAGGGGAGGAACAAACCCTGTGTGCAAAACAGGTTTTTAACTATATTCCCCTCTGCTATAACTCTTTTAGAGCTCTGAAAACAGAGAGATACGTTTTGAGTTTGAAAAACTTCTTTTGAGAAAACAAGTATGAATATAAATATGAAACTGTTCTGGCCTCTGTGACAAATAAATATTTTGGGAAATTAACAATACTACTCATTCCCAGAAATAAATCAAGGCATTTAGTTTGTATAGGTAAGTGATTAAAGTTTCCAACATCAGTGTTCACAGTTTACCTAAGACATTTGAGGGTATCTCAATAAATGCACATATTGAAGTTTCCTATCTAATTACTTGAGTATTATTGAACAAAAAATAGTATAGTTACATCTACTTTTAAAACTTCGATTTATCTAAACAGTGATACAAAAAAGTGATCTAGAATTAGCTCTCTGGGACATTTATAGTCTTTATGCCACACAGAGAGGAGCAATAAGTCCATAATCCACTTCAACAATATGTTGCATGGGTTGATGATTTGAAAGGAACAAAGTAAAAAATATCTTCCATAAAGTAGGAAGGACAATTCATTAGATAAATTTCTTGCAGTACTTTATTATATGAAAAGGACTCTCTGTATGACTAGGCTTTTGGGGCAAATATACGCTACCAGTGGATGTCACAATGGTATGTAATGAAATGAAGGATGGCAACAATAAAGGTGATATTGTGCTGTATCTCTCTATGTGGCCAAGAACAGCTAGCTCAGTAAAGGCTTTATCTCAGCATGTCCAGGAGCTGGGAATGCCAGAAAGAGCTAGCTTTAACTTGGTCAAAATAACAAGCAGGCTTTCAATAGAAATGTAATGAGGTAATGTGGTCCAATAAAATTTAACCTTTCCCTCCAGGTAAAAATGGTAGGTTTGGTTTTTTTACCATACTGTTTTGATATCAAGGTTACTGCCTGCTCTTCTTCAGATATGCTTAATGTGATACAGGGAAGAGAATTGCTTTAAAATCCCTGGTCACAGATTCTAAACTCATGAGAGTTTGCAATACCCATGGAAGGTCAGAAAAAGTTGTATGAGATCTGAATCTGCTGGTTGAACATGGAGAAACAAGGCTCTTAGGCTTCTTACATAGTCAGTCCAACCAAACAAACTGGTGAATATTATCTCCTATTTTGCATCCAGTAAAACAAAGTTTTCTTAAGAACTGAGTTGTCTGAAAATCATGCCAATTATCATGGTCACTTAGTTAAGAGACAAACCACACAATATTCTGATGCCCAAAATGGTGAAGTGACAATTCACCCTTGGTGCAGAAGTGAACTGCATGTGTAACAGCAGTACTTTTTACAAACCATGTCAGTGTACTCTGAGTGGAATCCAGGTTCTCTTGAAGAAGGGACAAAATGTTGTGACTTGTACCATAGCAGAGCCCAGGTCTCTAATTACAGTGTGATAACTCTCCAGTGGTAACATCTGATGTCAAAGAACACAGCCTTGCGAGCTGTGAGTCAGCTGTTACCACCTTCAGGGGCTCTTTAGAGTCCCACAGCCACACCTGGTCTTTTTGGACTTACTTTCTGCCTCGGGTTGAGTTAAAAGTTCCGCCGTATTTCTTCCGATTAAGGATGAGAGCAGCAATTTCTGGCACGTAGCGAGCAAACATTGCCTACATGCATGAAACAAAAACACAAAAAAAAAAAAAGAAAATGGCATGCAGAGAGTGTTCTACTGCAGCAGAGGCAGCAGAGCCTCTTGGGATACTTACTTTCTTCCACTAACCGCACTATAGGAACCACCATATTTCTTGCGGTTTCCTATTAACTCTATGATTTCAGGGACGTAGCTGGCAAACATGGCCTAAGAAGAAGATAGGAGACAGAAGAAAAGACTAAAAAGAGAGGCCAAAGAAAGGGGGATGATGAATATTTTCAGAAGATATATATTTTTAAGATCTGAAAATGCAAAAGAAGTAGATCTATGCAGTTGTTTAAAAATAAAATTTTAAAAAAATGAAAAATTTCTTATCAAACAAAACAAGAAGGCTCAATGTAAAAGTTGATCTTGGAGAAGGTACACACCTTATAAATAAAGAAAATGGTCAAAAGAGGAAAAATGGACATGTAAAACAAAACAAGAACAAAATTACTTCAAACTCGTATCTAGTCACAAAAACCAGTTTTGTCTATTTGTTCCTGAAGAGGGGAGGGGAAAAAAACCTATCCAAGCCCCACTGTAAAAAAAAAACCAAAGCCAAGTATTATCATTACTGTCACATTTCTGTTTTAAAATACAGACTTTGCCCCCCATTCTAAGAATTTAAAAGAAGAAAAAAAAAGATTAAATCAGGGGTTATGTCCCCATCAAGAAAAAAAAAATCACCCCCCCCGCCCCCCAGAAAAACTTTTCCAAAAGTTCTTGGGTTTAGAAGGATTGGAATAATATGTGATAGAAAAAAGGTTTTGAGGAGAAAATAAAAATTATTCTGCCATGTTTTGTCCAACAAACAGCTTCCTTGTGGCTGGATACTTCGAAGAGCTACTGCCATTTGACATGATCTTTGTCTTCACATGTCAATAAACAGAGATGAGAATGCATACATGTAACGCTCATACATATCTGTGTGTGTCCAATATATGGCATTCATAACCTTGGTTATATACACAGCACCTCTGTGAGATGTATGTATATGTGAAACCAACGGACGAGGGTAAGGTAACAATATACAAATGTGTGCATGGGCACAATAGACATTACAAGTCACCCATTAGCATTTACCTTGTGCAGGGTAAATACTAAAATAAACTTGGCTAGTTTAGAGAACATTGCAACAGGTGTAATAATATTACTAGCACTGACAAATAATGGAAAAGTTGGCAAGACAAATAGTAACTTGGGTGCTATTTACATACAGGACAAAGAACACGAGAAACTGGTGTTATAAAAGGATACGTGATAAATTGTGAGCTAAAATTGTACTACATGACATGAAAGGATGTTTGAAATTAAAGGGAGTGTGGTTTGCCATCATCTGGATCAGGCAAGCTGCTCTTTAAGGCAGTCCAAAGCCACAGTGTTTGTTGGAATTCTGGGAAGGAACACAGAAGGGTGGGTAGGACCTCTGAAACCGCAAAGTGCCTTTAAATATCAATAGCAACCTCCAGAAATGCTCTACAGCCAGTCACTAAGAAGTAGAGGACTACAAATAACATTCTATGTTGAAATATTAAGGCACTTCATGTATTCACATGCATTAATCATTTAAATGGATTTGAAAAATTCTAATTCTGGACTAATTCTGGACTAATTTGACTAAGCTCTACCAAAATATTTATCTACAGGAAAAATGCATATTAAACATATTTTAATGTTTTATGATTAATTTTAGTTTAATAATCCAGATATTATTGTTCCCTTAATTACAACATTGAGATATAGAGGATCAAGTTTTAAGGTAACTGGAGTACTAAGAAGAACATAAAGAAGAATTTTTACCAATCCCCCAAGGATGAAGAAGACCATGAAAAGGCGACCAAGGGTTGTTTTTGCATAAACATCTCCATAGCCAACGGTGGACATTGTAACCATCAGCAAATAAACACATTCCCAGTATGTTAGCGGTTGATTATTTTGGAAATTTTCCCATGGATCCCCTGAGTTCTCCACCTACAATGTACAAGAAAACATATAATGAATTACATTAATTATAACTGACTCTAATTAACCCCAAATTAACTTTACCCATACATGCATGTGCCTTTGTGTGCATATAGATATATATTTGGCATATAATACAAACTCTGAATGCTTTCCTGTGATTTATTTTCATCAAATACAGAACGTGACCCTGTGCCAAACAGAGCACTGCAGTTCTTGTGCCAGTATATACAGCCTTGCTACTCAGATCATTTAGGGGAAGTATCTTTTCCAGGCACCACTAGATCATGTAACTTACTCATGCAGTTTGGTAAGTTCATTTATAAAAATGTGTTCAGAATATTTTCAGAGTAAATCTTAGTTTTACTGCAATTACACTCCTCAATGTTTTTGTTTTATAAGATTGAAGGCATTACTAGCACCTTTAGTGGAATGCTACTACTTTTTCAAAGCCAACCACTGTAAAGAAAAAATTATAAATTTGTCAGTGGGAAAGGAGTGTGCCATCTAAAATTTGCTCCATAGTAAGAAGTTGAAGTTTGAGTACTCCTTCAGTAGAATAGAAAAGCTTTTGTTGAAAAACAAAGGAAAAAAAATTCCAAATCCTAGAAAACAGCATTCCCTTGGTCTTGATGTAGTATTTAAGGGGTGTTATGCTCCCTTCGGCAAAAAACTAGGAAAAAAAGGTATTGTTTTTAGATCGAAACACTACATTTGCCTAGAGGAGTGTAAAAATACGTTTCATACGTGAATGAGAAATATACCATAAATTAAACCACTCAAAACCTCTGTACACCTTTACAAGGGCGAACATGAGACGACTGATACCGCAAGAAGAGAAGGAGTCGGAACGCGCTCCTGCCCAGCTGGATGCAGCTTTGGTGCGGAGCCAGCCGGGGGAGCCGCTCCCGCCGAGCCCGGCTCGCTCGGGTGTTCCCGGGCGGACAGCGCCCCCTGCTGCCCGCACGGACGGACAGAGCCCGCTCCGCCTCCTCGGGGACACGGGCGGGCCTCAGTGCGGGCAGCTGGCATGCCCTTATTGCGGGGAGCTGCCATGCTTCCTTATTGCGGGCAGCTGGCATGGCTCCTTATCTCGGGGAGCTGGCACCGCTCCTTATTGCGGGAAGCTGCCATGCTTCCTTATTGCGGGGAGCTGCCATGCTTCCTTATTGCGGGGAGCTGCCATGGCTCCTTATTGCGGGGAGCTGCCATGCTTCCTTATTGCGGGGAGCTGGCATGCCGTTATTGCGGGGAGCTGGCATGGCTCCTTATTGCGGGCAGCTGCCATGGCTCCTTATCGCGGGAAGCTGGCATGGCTCCGTATTGCGGGGAGCTGGCATGGCTCCGTATTGCACTCTACCGACGGGGTACGGCACTACCAAGAGCAGCAGTAACGCAGCTCGGAGCCCGCGGTCCGGCAGAAAAAGTGAACCGAGTGTTTGCAAATGCACTCACCAAATGTATGAACCCAGCTGCTGTCAGCCACGTGCTGATAAATATAGAGCACAGATTCACCAGCTTGATGGAATTACTGGAAATAAACAGAGCAAATAGGAGCTTTGTCACATATTTTTTATAGGTACCTGTATACAACTGCTAACTTTAGACTCAAGAACCTGATGATTATTTCCCAAAAGGAAGATTCCCTAAAAAACTTATTCAAAAGTTTATGTATAATATGTGTTATTTTTCCTTTGGAGAGTTCATATTTTCATAATTTAGATAGCTTGAAAAGAAAGTCCCAATGAATGGGAGCAGAAAGACAAACAGAAACCTTAGCTACATCAGTAGTCAAAAACAAACTACTAGAAATAAATAATGCTTTTTCACAGATAATCTGGTTTGCCACTCACCTCTTCATTTTTCACTGCTATACACTCAGAATTATTCACACATAAATACATAAAAAATACATGCGAAAACTGATTCTCAAATTAAAGAACTAAGGTACTTCACAATTTCTGTGTAAAGTCCTAACTATTTTCATATTTTCTGCTTGTTCCTATGGAACTTTTTAGGGAAAATTCACATGAAACTAGAGTATTTCATACTTCATACTCACAGTTTTCTCTAAAAAAAGAAAAAGTGTAATTTAAACCCACCAAAAACATACGCAAATGCTTTTTAGTCACACTGAGTAGTATTTTCCCTATTCTAAACAGAAGGGATTTTGAAACAAGGACCTCACTCAGTTTTGCAGGAAAACACGATACTCTAAAACCTTCTGGAGGAAATACAAATAAACCCTGCTCTCTCTCTTACAAAAGTCACTGTCCTAAGAAGGACATTCAACAGTAACATGAGGAACTGCTGTCCATGTATGACTGTGTTTAAACAATCTTACCTATTCTTGCTTTTGCAAATTTTTATAAGAAGTTACACCTCAGAAAAGAGCCCACAATTATCCTTAAAGCAATACACTAAAAACTATAAAAATTGAAAAAAAATCACTATCAGCGTTAGCAGTAGTAATTTTGTGGTAGAATTAGTGTTTCTGTTTATAACCACTTTAATGACAATAAAAATGCATCCTTTTCTGAACAAAATAACCAGTAAAATTAACCAGTACAGGTCCTTAAAAGATATTTTAGAAGTTAGAGTTAATAGACATATGGAAGTACAAGAAATAGAATATACTGGGTAATGTGACAAATGAAATGAATACTGTATTCAAAAATAAAATAGCATATCAGCAATCTTGTCATTAGTGCTCACCAACATCAACATACTCCCTATTTCTCTCTTTCTTAAACCATGGTTGATTAAACTCCCTATTTTCTTAGTGGTAACATTCATTTATAGCACAGGACCCTAACCAATGGGTTCCTAGATTAAACAAAATCATAGGAGTGATGCTGATGCAAAGCTCCATTATCAAAGGCTGACTATCATCCTTCACCTGAGTTTAGAACACAAGATGTTCCTAATAAAAAATTATGTGTCTGTTGGTCTCTTCATATCACTGTAACACCCATTAATAGTAACTATTTACATTACTTGTTTGGTACATTTTATTTTTGAAGATTTATTAAACACTGTGCCTTGTCTGTCCTCTATGAAACACTCCCTGTGTTTCTGCCAGAGTCTAAATATAGATGACGGATTAGTCATAAACATTTTCTCCCTCTTTAAGCTCTTTCCAACATCTGTGCAAAATCCCTTACTGTGAGCCCTGCTTAAGCCCCTGCAGATTTTTTTGAAAAATATTAGAAAAGAATACAGTTTTCAACTGAAAACTGTAGAATTCAATTCCATAAAACATGGGAACAAAAAATCTTAAGTGAAATACATTTAATTTCAAATTAGGGAAACTAACAGGTCCTTGGCAGAGTACAGTCTCTTAAAGTGCCACTGTAAAATTTTGCTTTGTCTGACAGGATCTTTTCAAATATACTCAGCTTTTTTTCAGATATTCTAATAATCGCCTAACACTTTACTAGTCTCCTTGCTGTCCCTAGTTTTGCATTGTGCACCTTCTTTCACTGGATCCAGCTTTTGGAATGTCCTTCTGCTCACTGTGTAAATAATACATATTCCTTTAATCCTCATATCTCAGTCAATAATTCCAGGAGTAATTTTCATTTAGAGGTTACGGTACTTTTTTTTCTTACTGGAGAAATGAGAAAAGGAGGAGAAAATTTCCCTGCAATTGCACTAAATATTAAAACCATAGTATTGCCCAGTATACCCTATCAATTATTTCATCTTCGCATTTTTTATTTGTTATTAGTGCCAAATGCACAGAAATGCCTAGATCAAATTAGTTCCATACGTTTTCATATAAATACATATCACCTCAAACAGAGAAGTATTCTCTTTTGATGAATTTTTAAATAATAAAAAATACTTTTTTCTCCCTACTTTAGTTTCAGAGCTAGTAATGATATACTGAATTTTCTATCCCAAATTCAACAATTCAAGGTCTGTCATTGACTCTTGGTCTTTATGTTCACAAAATTCCTAAAATGTCAAAAATTTCAATTAAACCTTAGAAGTGGACTGCAAAAAATGCTAAAATATCTTAATTCTGGAAGAATTTTTTGCCATCCCTGAGCAAAATAATGTTGCAGTAGCAGGCCAAAAGCATACAATACTGTGTAAGCCTTTAAAGTAATAATAAAGTTCTAAGGCCACAGTATGTAATTGAAATCATTGATTGAATTTAGGGAAGTAAATTTCATTTAAATAACACTAGATTTCTTGAAACTACTAGTTTAACTGCTCTTACTTGTACAAATTTTTCAAGATTCTCCACTCATCAGAAGGGCTCAGCATGCTTTATTTTTTTAGGAAGCAAAATAATTCAGAACCAGAAGCTCTCAATTTAAGAGTATTCTGGTACTGTAAATAGAAAATGTGTGTGCAGCATGTGAAATGCAGTTCTGATGGTACCTTCAGAATACACTGAAAATTTCTCATTGAAGGTAGCAGTAATAAATGAATTTTCTAGGTTGCTGCTTTCTAAAAGCTAAACTAATGCAAGACATTAAAAGAAACCCGAAGCACTTACACAATCAAATTTATGTCAGTTGTAACTAGAAACTCTTCTAAAACAAATTGCATTCTGTTAATTTGTTTTAATTTGACACATCCATTAAAAAAATAAATGTTTTGTGAACATTGCTGACATTCCAAATTATTCAGGTCATTTCAGGTTAATAAGTAAGACAACAAAGAGAGCAGACATGACTTTCTGTTGCATTACCAGGAACAGAGAGAGACATAAAAAACTGTTTTGAGGCAATAACAATTTTTCAGTTAAATAAATGATGTTAGTATGAACTGCTAAGGATGAATTACCTGACTAAACTGAAACACTCATATAAGAAAATTTTGCTTTACAGGCTTTGACTAATCAATATTTGAGGTTTATAGATATTTTGGAAGTGGTATAAATAATCACAGAGATAATGATATCTAATATAAGAGTAAATTCTGCCCCAGAGAAAGGTTATTTCAATGAACAGGTCAATCTTAAATAAACCAGCTCTGAGTACCTTGAAAGTGATTAATGCACATTTATGGATCTGGAATTTCACCAAATCCCCCAATACTGAAGGGGCTATTAGCTTTTATCCAAAATCTCTGAGTTTATGGGGCTTCTCTAATGACTGCCATTTCTTATGGCAGGGTTGTTCTGCATGTTAAATCTTATTCTCCCTTCCCATACTGAGAATTCTGAGCTATGGGACCTCACCTTACATTCTTTGATGTCTTTGTTTGACCAGAATTGGCTTCCTTCCAGTAACTAAAGACAGATAGTGTGAGAATTTTACAGCACAGAATAGTTTCAAGGTTGGTTTAGGGTTGAAGAAACAGCTGTTTGCTGTGAATCTGCACAAATTTCAGTACCTATTTTCCTATTGCTACAAATGATCACAGCAAGGAATGGATTTACCTGCATATAAAGCCCTCACAGATTTATAGCAACTGCTGCAGAGAGGGGAAGTTTTCAAAATGGAATTGATTTTACAGTCATTATTGGAAGCTGTGGTCAATACTTCCTCTGCAGCATTTTAGAGAATGATGAAAAACAATGTGTCTTCAACTGCAAGGCATGGGAAGGTTCCTCCTCATTTCCTTCAAAATGATCTTTTGTCCAAAACTGTGCCTTTACTGCACAACATTGAGGTATAAATAGGCCAAAGAAGCAGTAAGCCAGAAGGCTAATTGGAATATTTTAATTATTATATGGAAGAAATACTAAGGATAATGAACACAATATAAAGATAGCTCAGTGTAAATTTAATTATTTTGATGTGAAAAAAGATGCTCAGTTCAAAAAACTGGAAGAGCCACAATGAGAATTTCTCAAAATACTTTTTAACTGTATACTTTTGAAAGAATTTTGATTTCAGTTTTTTCAAGACAGCAGAACATAAACTTATTATATGAAAAGAAGCAATGTTTAATCAGCACATAGCAATGTAAATCATTCTGCTTTTAATTTATCAACACATAACCTTGCTCGGTATTTCAAACATAACAATACAACAATTAAAATGATGACATAGCAAAAGATGCTGTCACTGACAAATCATTCATCAGCAGAAAAAGGCTTAAAGAATAGATAACAAGTGCAGGGGTTTTTCCAGAAAAGAAAAGCATGTGTTGCTAGGGCCCCAAATCAAAGCCATTTACATTCTGTCACCAATTAACTAAATCAGCATCCAAGAAAAATCTTACCTTGTTTTAAGTATATTCAGAAACTGCAAGATTTCTGAAAACTGTATCAGTCTAAGGGCTCTTAAAAATCTTAAACCTGCAGTAAAAGAAAACAAAGTTATAGTAAAGAATAATTCAAGTTGTAACAGCATATCACAATGACAGTAATCAATTAAATCAAAACAGGCAACATACAAAATTTCAAATACCTTTAAAATGCTCTTCCATATTTAATTGTTCAAGGATCCTTAACAGGTATTTTTCAATTTTTTTTAAAGTTTATTTCCCTAATAACAGGTTTATCCTACCACAAAGTGTTAATTTTTGTAGGAAGTAATGGAAGGAGACACACAGGCAGAAAGCTGAGGGGGAAAAACCTCACTGAGGTTTCTGTTGGCAGCTGCAGTGCACATGTCCTTCTCTTTCAGGCTGTCAAAGACACAGGCAGGTCTGATTTTGCTTAGTGAAAAATAACAGATCATGGGCAAGAGATCTGATAACCTGGATAAAGTAGACTGTATATGCCTGATTAAATTTGGTAAATCTTAATGACGTAAAATCTTTTATAGTAATAATGCTCCCTATCTCCACTCTCGTTTCAAAAACCTCATGAAGGAAAACAGAGAAATCACTCTTTTTCTCTTGAAAAAGGCAAATTTACTACAATTCTTTCCATCAGTCTATAACTACAGAATACATTACATATCACTATTTTTAAAAAAGCATTTTTACAAATAAATAGCATTTTTATGCTGAAATCAGATCGCGTGCATAGCAATTCCCAGACAACTAAAAAGTCAGTAAGACAAAGAGTGTGTGTGCAAGAGAAACTAATTGAGAAGATTAAGGGCTTAAATTATTAAAATAGTCTTATGCTGATAGTAAATGATTTGGCTGCAGATCTTTGGCATATGAATAAAAGTACACTCTGTACTGTACACATGCACAGCTTAGAAAATTAAAGTAAAGCATGAAGGATAATTTTTATTAGAGAGTACAGCCAAGAGTTACATAAAAGTTGTGTAATGTGATATTGCAACTGTTACAGGAAGGTCCAGAGCAGCTTCTTCTCATAGATTCTCTTTACTGACATCTACTTTACTCAACTCCAGTGCAGGAAACCACTTTTTATTTCTAGAAATTTAAGGAAATACTGATCCTGGCAAACATGAACCTGGTCACAGCTTTCGTCATCTCATAAGAGGTTCCCCTCAAGCACAAAGGTGCATGTGGCAAGATGTGTTTATATCAAGAAGTTTTTCCTGCAGTATTATTGGAAAGTTGTTAAATAAAGTATTTGCTCTTATATTTTGCCTTGTTAAGGCTCCTAAGTAGTGTTAAGGTACACTCATGTCTATTATATGGATATGAAGTTTCTTTTTAATTACTGACTGTGGGTAACTCTGAAAATTAATCACAGCTTGCTAAATGGATTCAGGGACCTAAATGAAAAGCAATAAAATGAAGCTTAATAATGCTAAATGTCAGATCTATTTGCAATTAGAGAATGATAACTTTGGATCACATTGCTGAAACTGTGAGAGACACATCCCTCTGCTCCACTTCCAGGAGTTCCCACAGTTGTTACTCCTATCCAAAGGATGTGGTTAGACAGGGAAAGGGAGGATCCTTACTAGCTACCATAAACCTTCCAGCTCTTTTTGACCCAGCTGCTTTCCTCACTCTGCTCCCTATAAACTTTTATGAAAAATGGCTGGAGTGACAAACACCCTGCCTCTAAAATGTTTATCACTGCATCTGAAGCTAATGCTAAGACCAAGTTAACCATTGCTATGTTTCAAAAAGAAACCTGAGAAACATCTAAGTTAGCAATAAAATCTCTATCTCCAAATCCTTGTAAGGCTTAAGTTATATTTTAATAGTTGAGTCATCATATGATAGATGAAAAATACTATGGGCTCAATGTGTTTTTTGTGGAAAAAGAAAATTATTATTATAGGTGAAGTCCTGCATTTGCTGCAGCCCACACAATTATTAAAAATTTACTTCAGAGAATAGAATTAGGAAAAGCAAAAACAAAACACTAGAGTGTTTGCTTGGACATTTTGACTACAAAATAGGGCTGGTTTTCAATTATGAAAGCCAAAGGAATTATTACATGGTAAATTCTTTCCAGTATCCTGAAATTTCCTAGGCACGAACAGATCTCCTATTATATTCCTATATGTGTTTAATTTTATGTGATTTTCACAGAATCACACAGTAGTTTGGGCAGGGAGGAATTTTCAAGGTCATCTTGCCCAACTATCCCTGCAATGAGGACCTAGATCAGGTTTCTCAGAGCCCTGTCTGGTTCGACCTTGAATGTTTCCAAGGCTGGGGCATCTACCACCTCTCTGGGCAACCTTTTCCACTGTTTCACCATGCTCATGGTGAAAAAATTCCTTATCTGTATTCCAAACAGCCCTCTGTTATATTGAAACCATTGCCCTTTCTTCTATTGCAGCAGGTTCTGTTAAAAATTCTGCTCCCTTCAGGTATGGAAAGGCCACAATAAGCTCTCCCCAAATCCCTCTTTCCTCCAGGCTGAACAACTCCAACTCTCAGCCTTTCCTCACAAGAGGTCTCACATCCTCTTTTTTGTGCTGAGGGCCCCAGAGCTGGACACAGAGCTGCAGGTGGGGATCCCAAGAATGGAGAACAGGGCAGAATTTCCCCCCTTGCCTGCTGCCCATGCTGCTTTGGATGCAGCCCAGCACACAATTGGCTTTCTGGGCTGCAAATTCCCATTGCTGGCTCATGTCCAGCTCCTCCTCTCCAGGTACCCCCAGCCCTCTGCAGGGGCTGCCTCCAACCCTTTCCTCACCCAGCCTGTGCTGGCACTGGGGGTGCCCCAAGGCAGGTGCAGGACCCTGTACTTGGGCTTGCTGAGCCTGAAGAAATTCCCACAGACCCACTTCTCACACTTGGCCTGGTCCTGGATGGCATCCCATCCCCTCAGGCACCCCAAGTGCCCACTCAGCTTGGTGCTTCCTGCACGCCTGCTGAGGGGGCACTCACACCCACTGTCTCACAACTGAGACCATGCCACCTCTTTCAGGGCTACCCCCTTACCGAGAGCAGAAATAGCCGATATTTGTTTATGCGTCAAAAATAGAAAGCAAAATTCACTCATAGGAGCAGTAACAAAAATTTCCCCTTCCCCAAAGCTGTTTCAGCTACATATACAAATGCATACAGCTCTCTTTCCTAAGCAAAGTTTGTGTTTTGTACAATTGGAGAAGAATTTCTTTTCTTATGAAATACCTACAAAACTGCTTTACATTTAAATTATTTCACCAAGGGTTGAGATATGGTAAGTTTCTTATGAATTACAGTGAATTCCATTCTAATTTTGCACATTCCATAACCCTGTCTGCTAAAGTTAATTGTAAACTGCTAAACAGAATGCTCAGGAAATGCTTGCTACATTCTCTCCATCATGTAACTTAACTTTTTCTTGGCAAGGAGTTATACATTTAAATTTTCTTATGGGATCTGATCAGAATAGGATTTAATCTGCTATGCTACAAATTATATCAAAAAGTAAGTACCAAAATATTTAGTTTACCCCAAATATCTCTCTAATGAAAGAAAAAAAATACACAGATAAAATAAAAGAAGGACCTCTTGAGTTTCTCAGTCTTCTGCTTCTAAATGGATGACTAAAATATGCTTAGGATTTGGAGTTCATTTCAGCTGCAATATCCAGAATAAAGATAAGATATTCATAGATATCAAGACCAGAAAAAACTTCTATGATTATAAACAATATGAACAGACAAAAACCAATATGAGACAAAGGTTTTTAGTCAATAGCTTTTGCCTCTAGTACAATAATCTGAGTTGTAGGTATAATGATTCAAATAAACCTTCAATGAACACTTCAACTCTTCCACAGCATTATTTTTACTGCAAAAGTATTTGTTTAGCTACTGTGTTGCCTGTGCAGCAAATAGACTGTTTTCAAATTACACTGAAAATATAAAATATGTGAAAATATGTGAAATATAAAATATTTCATAGCATGGTATTCCACCTAAAATCTGTAAAAAATGGTCACTAGGAGAAACTGCGTATTGCCAAAAGCCCCTGAAATAAGTTTTAAAGAAATCAATTATCTGTTTATTAGGAAGAATATGCCGTGCTGAACTACCAGGCTACATCTAGAATATAGCAGGAGTACTTTTTTTCTGACCCTTTACTAAGGATTCAGCAAAATGGATGGGTTCTTTAGAACAGAGTAGTGATCCTGACATGGCCAATAGACTATGTGCCATAGCAACACAATTACAGTAGAAAATTATTTTATCTATAAAGCTTACAGCAAGGAGTAATATTTACAGTTTTATTTGACTTTAAAAGCAATAGGGTATTTTCCTGTCTGTCAGACAGTTTTGCACTCTGTCTGCTGAACTGATGCTTTCCACTGGACTAATATACAGAAGCAACCAGGATTAGCTATAATTTGCAAACCCCAATCCACCCCCCTCCCACCCACCAAAATAAAAAAAAAGGAAATTTCCTATTTTAAATCTTTAAAGGGAAAAGCAAGGAAATCATGACAACTATACTTATATGATTTAAATGATATTCTAATAAATAGAAAGAGGAATTGGGATGTTCTTCGTTTGACATGAAAGGTCAATCAACAAGAACAGCACCAAGCATTACATTGTTTCTCACCAATGAAATATGTAATCCCCATCTTACTGCCTTAGGCTGCTTATTTTTTTTTCTAAGAGACAAGAGTATGTCCAAAATATTGGTGTGAGGCTTCAATACACAGAGATTCTGTTTGCCACTTTTATTCCTGACGAACCATTCACCCATTCATCAGAACAACATCTTCATCAAAGTTATCAATGGCTACTTCCACCCTAGATTTCATTAAGACCACACAGTTTACTGAAGTCAGAAAAAAACCCAGAATCCATATTTAGGAACCTTTTCTGAGACACAGGATGGAGGGATAATTTTTAGGATGCAAAAAAATCCCATTTTGAACATCTTCATAGAATACAGCAGAATTTTCTGAGATCTTACTCCCTGTAGATAGACTTGAAAATGAAAGCTCAAACTGAAAAGAAAAGAAGA